TGTGAAACAATTCAATTGAGAAAATCAAAGGCATAATTTATACAAAACTATTTACGAAAAACAAATATGACGGACATGAACCAACGACAACCACTGAACTACACCTGAGACTACTATAACACAGTCTCAGACTACACTTACAGGCTCCTATAGCTGACTTGGGACAGGCACATACAGATTATAATGTGGCGGGTCAAATATGTTTGTGAGCGCTCAACCCTTCCGATACCTGGGACAGCGGCGTTTATTTTTCAATCCTTTTTTTACACATCACTATACTATGTTATATAATGGTAGTTTCAGCTGGGACTATTAGTAATATAATATTTTTTTATGATGGATTTCCTATTCACCATGTTATTTATTTTCTTTTGTGTACACAACTATCATCAGACCCCCACATTGTCCTGCATTTTATAGGACTGACTATTCATTCTCATCCTATCTGTCTATACCGTTTCATATATTGCATAGGTAAAAATGTAACCTTTCCCCATATTGGTTGGGTTTCGTGTGTGGTGTGTTGGTAAAGTGGAATACCAAATAGTCAAAAGAGGGGAAATTTGTTGATAAAAACACAGCCGTAACACCGGCAAGAAAGTTACGTACAGGGCTTTTCATATAACAAGTACTGAAAACTTGATTGACCTTATCATCATATTTCTCAGCGAATAGTTTTTCCCCCTATCCACCCACATATTTTTCAAGCTGGAAAATGTGACCTATTCCAATTCCAGTGGCACGTCCTATCACCTTGTATATGGGAAGTGCCCCCCCCCCCCCCCCGAGGAATATTCATTTCCAAAATACTCCTCCACTGGCTGGCACCGCAGAAATCACATGGATCCCCTTAATTAAAGTACTTAAATGCATTAAAACCATATCAACCTTCAATTTTTATCACGGAAACGGATTAACACGTCTATTCAACTACGTAATTCAAGAATTTTGGCGGTACGCACTGAAACCCGGACCGGACCGGACTCCGGACCCGGACTTTGGTATGAAACCCGGACCCGGACCCGGACTGGATGCCGGACCCGGACTGTGGGTTTTTTTAACCACTTTAATGCTTTTAGGATTACTGTCATGATAAACAGTATAAATAAAAAAGAGTGAACCAATATTTTCCCACATTCCGAACGCAAAATTAAACAAAAAAGAATAATACAATAAATAGATAAATAAGTAAGTAAATATTTGTGTTATACAAAATTACTCAAAGAGTTTAATATTTGTGCTTTATGCTTTTGTTTCTAAAAATGATAATTAGTGGTTTTATATGAAATGAAAGCAAATGAAACACTTGTCATAGAAAGAGTGAAGAGCAATAGTTTGAAACATTCGAAGGGTGTATTTTTATGTGTAGGCCTACTGTTTTTTTTCTAGCAAATACTGAAAAAAGAATTCCTCCTTTTCTAAATAATTTGTGTGTTTAAATTTCTATGAGTAAACTGTATAAATAGATATTGAAAAAGGAAATAAAGATGAAATAATTGCGACTTTTTTTCTTATGATTTAACGTCTTACTTCTTACATCTATATATAGTATTTCCTGGTTGATTGTTCCCTCTTTAAACAATAAACTGTTAAACATTAATTGAAATTTACCATTTAGCCTAAAATTATGCCTTACAGTTGAATTGACAAGAAATGATTTATTGTTTTGGCAGTCTTACCTCCGGGGGGGGGGGGGGGGGGGGGGGGCACTTACTTAGGAATGAGTTGTAGGGATGAGCCGCTGGAATAGGTCACTATTTCATGCTCCATGATATATGAAAAGGATGAGAAATTCAGATTAACTATGTCAATAGGTTGACATTATCACCTGCTTGATTATATCATAAGTATCTGAAACTAATCACATGTCCATATTTATTTTTGATGCGGTTAAACCACAGTTGTAAGTGCATCAGCTATGTGAAACCAAGTTAACCTCTATTTATTCCAATGTGATTTTTCCACTGATGTTAGTTATAGATGCAATAAATCTGATCATTTTGACATTTGAACCTAATTAACATTCAAAGGTGTGTATACATGAAACATGATAACAATTATTAAAAGAAATTCCATAGTGTCAGCGTCTTTTTATACGAGGGAAAGGCAATGTAACTTGTTATCAGTTTTTCATTATAAATTGATATAAAACTCAGTGAAAGTGAAACTGGGGTGTTACTACATTTATCTGACCAAACATATTTTATTGTCTATTGAACTTGAAATTTCCTCATAATGAAAGATATAAAAGCGGCAAATAGATGAACATTTTTAAGATGTGGCGAATCTATTGGAAAAAAGCAAGGTGTGATTATTGCGACTGCGTTGCTTCTAAACAAGAAAGTGATGATGAGCGGGACCCCAAAAAAAATCTATATACTAATGTATCAGAAGATGAAAAATATCTAAATATATAAGGTAGGTCTGTTTTTAGTTAATTGATATATGACAAGGTATATATTTTTGATAAACAAAATATATGAAAAGGGTGGGGTACTTGATGTCTCAGCTGCTCACCTCTACCAAAAAAATTTTGAAGTGCCCCCCACCCCCCTCGAGAGTCCTACTTTTATTATTTGTTTCCTGTTAAGAAACATCAATTGGGGCTGTTGTTATGTCACTGCACGTGTAATATAAGTCTCATGTTTTATGGGGCGTATGACATTTGCGCCGATTTTTAAAAAGTTTCGATCTTTCTTTTGTGCTTATTATGCACAGGCAACACACTGGGTAAACTACAGGTGAATGTATTTTTTTTATTTATCAATATAAACCTCTTCCGTTAGCCAGTGGTACGAATGTTATGAATTGTCAATTATCATAAGAATTCTTATAATCTCTTATTGTTCGTATGAATTCTTATGATCTCTTATTGTTCTTCTGAATTCTTATGATCTCTTAATTATTGTTCCTCCAAATCAATTATTGACAAAGGTTTACACTCGCTTCAGGATGTTTGGTTACTTAAAAAAACAAACAAAAAAACACATGACTTACTCACAAATACATGTACCTTAAGACTATAGGTGATGACCTAAGTGTAAACAAGTTCGGTTGTATTTTAAATATAGTCTTAGATGCATGATTTTTTTACATTAGTTATTGGCCTTGTACTATATATATAGCTGTCAGTAACTGCGAGTATTCCGGCTCAGATGGATGTACTAATTGTCTTTCTGTTGTGTGGCTGTATAAGTACCCATACAAGTATTCTCTGTGTTTTTATTATATGTATTTCTATCTGTATCCATCTGATGAGTTAAGCCTTTTTCAACTGACTTTTATTGTTTTTTTCTTATGTTGTACTGTTACATCAATGTTCTAAGTTAAGGGTGGGTTGGCGCCTTTAAACAAGTTGAACACCACCACATTCTGTATGTATACGCCTGTCCCAAGTCAGGAGCCTGTAATTAAGTGGTTGTCGTTTGTCGATATGTAACATATTTGTTTATCGTTCATTATTTTGTACATAAATAAGGTCGTTAGTTTTCTCCTTTGAATTGTTTTACATTTGTCATTATGGGGTCTTTTATATCTTACTATGCGGTATGGGCTTTGCTCATGTTTGAAGGACGTACGTAGACCTATAGTTGTTATTTTGGTCTTCTGTGTCAGTTTTTATCATTGGCAATCACATCACATCATTCTTCTTATTTTTATATAACATCCAAATAACGCTTCACTTGTTCAATTACTATAGTAGTTTCATACGGGATACGGAACAAGTTTTTTTTTTTAAATAAATATAGTCAGTCGTTTTTAAAATGTATGGGAATTATAGATAAAATCACTTTTATAAATTATCTCATAGTTCAAAGTCAAACTAGCGGTGTTCCGTGTAAACAAAGTTTTCAAAATCTGATTTTATTCATAACTCTTTAATCTAATAAATTTGTTTAATTCGGTCCTTCCCTAATTTGATCATCAGCATGGCTACGGATTTCTTGTCAGAGGTATTGTGAGGAGACATGACCAGGTATTCAAGCGATTTCCTGTCGGACTAAAAACACTTATTATACAATTACGTAATGCTGGTTCATGCATCGCTGACTACTGACCATATATACCACTGTGTATACATCAGAATACACGGTCGGTAGTTTGGAACGTTCAGGTGTAATATACATACACATTTTGTTTGTTTTGAGTCCGACAGTGATACACGATACATTTCTTAACTCATATGAGGCAAATTTACTACCACTTGTTTATGTATAACAAATTTGTAAATAAACACACTGTATGTATGATTTATTTATTATTATTATTATAATGCATCTTGTTATAGTTCTCCAAAAATTACCATCCCTCTTCTGAATAAAAAAGGAAAATATAATTCTAAGAAAATTCACTTTCCCCTATAATTTATCCTAAAATATTTCCATGTGTTTTAAGGTCATTTGTAAATATGCATACTGTAGGCAGGATTTATTTTTATTATTATAAATTATAATGCATCTTGTAACAGTTCTCCAAAAATTTAACTTCCTTCTCTTGAATAAAAAAGGAAAAAATAATTCGAAGAAAATTCACTTTCCCCCTATAAATTTATCCAAACAATATTTCCATGTGTTTTAAAGTTATTTGTAAATATACATACTGTAGGTATGATTTATTATCATAATGCATCTTAATACACTTCTCCAAAAAACTATCTCATGATCCCTTCTCATGAATAATAAGGGAAACATAATTCCAAGAAAATTCACTTTCCCCCAATAATTTCATACCAAAGTCCGGGTCCGGAGTCCAGTCCGGTCCGGGTTTCAGGACGTACCAATTTTGGCCGGTTCGTGACTCCCTATTAAAATTAAAATCCAGTTCTTAGGTTTTTTTCAATCATATTGTTTGGCCATTTTGAAATAGTCCCCCCAAATTTTGAAATGGTCCACGAAAAGGAAGTTACGAAAACTAGTTCCTTGTATAACTTTGCTTCCTTCGTTCTGTGTAAAATTCAGAAAATAAGGTAACAGGGATACCTGCCCACTTTTTAATCCAATCATGTGTTGTGTTTACAATTAGAAGGTCAAGGTAAAGTCATCTACGTCTACAAAAACAACTTACAAGAGCAAATATTTGGTGGAAAACAAGACTGTAAAGTGTTGGTAAGTGAGGTTCATTAATTATAAGCCTTATGTAAGATGAGCTTGTTAAAAATCTGACAACCATGATAAAAGAAACTATAACTGATGAAACAGTTTATTCAAGGACAAGCAAATGTTTTTGTGGTTTAAATTTTGTATAACTATAAAGTATAAGATTCTTAATTCTAATTCAATTTTCATTCCGTAAGCTATAATTTTCCACTACATGTTAAACCCATACATCAAACTGTCAAATATTAAAAGATAGGACACATGATATATTTTTCACAGGACTAGATGAATGCCCCCCTTTTTCTAAAATATTTGTGTGTTTAAATTTTTGTTAGTAAATATTCTGTGATATTTTAACTTATTTAATTAGTTCTTGTTCTTATTTCCACGTGAAATAACAATCACAGTAGTTTATTAATTTTGACCCTCTATATTATTCCATATATATATAAGGAAGGATCGAAAGATGGAACAAAATCAAATATCGGAATCTGCTCACCTCTGACACTTTTCATGCTCCATATTCTTATTAAGGTAAGGTTTGCGTACACAGGGAGATAACTCAAATTCAAATAATTAAAAAATGGAGGGACCCGCCATTTTGAATTGCTTTGATCAACCAATGTTCGATTACTACAATATTACCGAAAATAAAACAACACCTACCTCAAAATTGGCGTTTTGATGTGATTTGATCAAAATTTGAATCGTAGAAGTAAAGTTATGACCTTCAGTTTGTTAGTTTTCATTTATATGACGTCACGTTTAGCCATAACGTCTTTGTGCAAAAACCATTCATGAAGTTTCGCGGAATTTTATTTTATTTCATAAATGTACATTTTTATGCCCACGCCATAGCAAAACGGGCATTGAGTTTTATTCTTGTCTGTTTGTACGTCTATCCGAATGTACGTATCATAGTGTACGTCCGTTTTTACAAAATTGGTTTCCGTTCTCTAACTTTTGTTTGCCTCAACCAACTGATATGAAACTTATGCACAATGCTTATTACCACAAAAACACAGAATAAGTTTGAATTTTGATGTCGTCACTTTTACAGTTCTAGATTTATGAGGGGTCGGACAGGGGGTACCTTTTTCCTTTCTCCCATGTCCCTTCTCTTGTCTCTCGCCGTAAAACCTTAAAAACTAATGTATGGGAAGCTCCTTTCACAAGATAGAAGTGTGGTTTATTCTTTTTTTTTATGGATGCATTAAAAATGTGTCTTTCAGACACAACTATAGTATTGTTTCGTCCTTAACATGCCTGAACTATTTGCCATCGGACATTTTACAACCTCTTATCAAACAAACTTCTATGCATATCAGTCAACTTTGAAGCAATCTATCTAAAAGCAAGGATGGTAATATGTGTGTCTACACATGCACGGACTCACTATAAAATCCGGGAAATTATTAGTTTTTAGTCTTTCTCCGTATATAAGAGCTCAAAATGAAGCTCGGGGTATTTTTATGGGGTCGATTTCTGAATTTTTCGTCTCTGTTCTAAACCTCTAGTTTGCTTCAACCAAATGTTATAAAATTCATACGTAATGCTTTATAATGTTTTATGTTTATGCAAGAGGGGGCATCATCAGTGTCCCATGGAAACATTCCCCATTTATTTTTCTTTTTGTAACGCATTAGAATCGGAATAACATTACTGTGGTTGAAGAGTAGCCACAATCAATTATGATTTGACGGTTGCAAATTTCCGTTTTACTGTCTCCGCTACGCATCGACAGTAGAACTGCATTTGCGAACATCAAATCGCAAATTGATGGTGGGGACTCCTCAACTACAGTACCGTTACTCCTGTGAACTTCATTGAACTGATTTTAATTTAATGAAAGTGTGTGGAAGATTTTCATATTACAGGTCTACATAACTTCATTTCTTATTTTATATATGAACAATACATATACGGCTGGTCATTTGTATTCCCGGGCCATATTCTGTTTCGTCTATCATCATGTATAGGAGCATGTAGTTTGTTTGTTTGGTCAAAGACTCCAAATCTGAACATCATGTGTAACAATTGGACAAATCAGATTTAAATGAATGGAATAAACACGGCTGCTGTAAATGACTTTACTAGTCAAAACTGATGTTTTTTCATCCAATTTCTGCATACAAACAATTACCAAAACATGGGGCAATAAAGCAATTTTCATTACTTTTAATGGCAATTAAATGCTATCCTAATATTCAAAATATTACAGTTTGAAGCACTGAAAGAAAATAAGTGTTTCCTTCAAAATCAGAGTCTTGTACATGTATTAATACAAAAGTATGACCAAAGTTTAACACCTCCCCTTCGACTGATAGTTATGGGCATAAAAGTCAATGGTAGACATCAAAAGTTCAATGTAGGATAAAAAAAACTTAATTCACATAGTTTTTTATCCCCCCAAGCCCCAAACTATTGTTACAAGACAAAATGATTCTTTGTAAAAAGATGATATTAAAGATAACATTCTTCTTTGCAGATCAACAAAAAAATTATTTTTGTGTTTTATAGAAATGACAAGATGAACACATAACGCCCATTTCCGTAAAAACAAATTCGGGGACATACCAATTTTATTAGCTCATTATAATGCAAATAGTTAAATCCTTAAGTTCACAGTTTTTTACAAAAACGGTGGACCCGGAAAGGGGATATTTTTGGCTTTTTGTTGCCATGGCAAAGGAATTTTTTAAACCCAAAAATTAAAAATCTTGTTTTTAGGAACTTTTTTAAGAACTTTTGAATTAAATTTATCATTAATGAATGGACCACAATTATTTATACATGTTTTATTCAGTTTTATTTTTTTATAGTCACTTGCATATATTATTATTTCAGAAGAATTTAAATACAATTTTCCCTAAAAAACGTCAAAAATTGCAATTTTGAGCTTTTCACTTGAAAAAACGGGACGGGCGATTTTCGATTTTTTTTTCATTAAATGATTGGGCACTCCTCCCTGAACAAAATGATGTATCATATTGGTATAATATCACTAAGAAAAAAATCCAGGTATCATGCAAACCTTACCTTAAATCATACAAATTAGGATATGTACAATGTATCAACTCAAAGAAGACTCAGTCTGACTTACCTTTTTGTTTCTGTTGTTGGCTTGTACATGTATATGCAATCACTCAGCTATTCAGAAATTACAAAGTTTTAGTACTTGTGCGAATCACTTAACGTCCATCATCAGAAATGAACTGGACAATAAAAGATATGAAGGATTTTTGAGATGTTAAGATTTTAACTGTTTCAATAAATCTGGTGGGCTGCCAAATTTGGTGCTCAAAAATTGAAAAGACAGGCTCTCCTGAAATGGATTTAAGACTGCCATATTTCAAAGTAGTACACAAGTCTGTCAGACTTCTTTTATACGACCGCAAAAAAAATTTTGTGGTCGTATATTGGTATGACGTTGGCGTCGTCGTCGTCGTCGTCCGGCGTCGTTGTCCGAAGACACATTAGTTTTCGCACTCTAACTTTAGTTTAAGTGAATGGATCTCAATGAAATTTTACCATAAGGTTCAATACCACAAAAGGAAGGTGGGGATTGATTTTGGGGGTTATGGTACCAACAGTTAAGGAATTAGGGGCCAAAAATAAGCATTTTTGTAACTTCCAGACATAACTTGTGTGTAAGTGTATGGATCTCTCTGACATTGTACCACAAGGTTCCATATCACAAAGGGAATGCTGGGATTGATTTTTGGGGTAATTGCCTCCACATTTTAGGAATAAGGGGCCAAAAAGGGGCAAAAAACAAGCATTTTTCTAGTTTCATGACAATAACTTGTGTGTAAGTGTATGGATCTTTATGAAATTGTACTACAAGGTTCCATATCACAAAGGGAAAGATGGAATTGAGTTTGGGGGTAATTGCCCAAAAAGTTTAGGAATAAGGGGCCAAAAAGGGGCCAAAAATAAGCATTTTTCTAGTTTCCAGACAATAACTTGTGTTCAAGTGTATGGATCTCTCTGAAATTGTACTGCAAGGTGCCATACCACAAAAGGAATGCTGGGATTGATTTTGGGGGTAATTGCCTCAAAATTTTAGGAATTAGGGGCCATAAAAGGGCAAAAAAACAAGCATTTTTCTAGTTTCAGGACAATAACTTGTGTGTAAGTGTATGGATCTTTATGAAATTGTACTGCAAGGTTCCATATCACAAAGGGAAAGCTGGGTTTGAGTTTGGGGGTAATTGCCCTAAACGTTTAGGAATTTGGGGCCAAAAAGGGGCCAAAAAACAAGCTTTTTTTCTAGTTTCCAGACAATAACTTGTGTTCAAGTGTATGGATCTCTCTGAAATTGTACTGCAAGGTACCATACCACAAAGGGAAGGCTGGGATTGAGTTTGGGGGTGATGAATCATAAGGGGGTTCAAAAAATTTGGGGGGGGGGGGGGGATTTTTTTGTCCTTTTTTTTCTTTAAAATTTACCATTTTAAATTGGTTATTTCTGATTTATATATAAAAGCAAATAATAATGATATGGTTTGAATAGGTAAATTAAAAATTTTTAAGTTCTTAGACCACTTTCATTCTGTGTCAGAAACCTATGTTGTGTCAAATATTTAATTACAATCCAAATTCAGTGCTGTATCAAGCTTGAATGTTGTGTCCATACTTGCCCCAACTGTTCAGGGTTTGACCTCTGCGGTCGTATCAAGCTGCGCCCCAGCGGAGCATTTTATTGTAAATATAATGTATAAAAATAAAAATGTTTCTTTGTAATTAATCCTGCTATAAATTGACGTCAGTGTTCACAAGAATTAGCTGGTTGAAAGATTTTTTTGGTACATGAGCACATGTACCTACTTGTCATATTAAAATACAAATTCTTCTCATCAATAATCAATGTCAGTTTCCATTGTGGTTCACAAGGTCTTAAATGATCTTACTGATAACAAAAAAGAGGTCTAATTTAATATTGACATTTTCACTTTTGCCTTTATGGAGTAATGGTCCTTTGTGAATTGAAAAATAGAACTTTATAT